AAAAAAAAAAAAAAGGTCAGTTAGGCGGTCAAATGCTTCATTACAGATATTTTTTTAAACACTTGTCTCTGCATGATGTCAGTGAGTGCAAATATCCACAGTAGGTTTCTGAAGCTGGCCACGAGCCAAATTTGAAAACAACAAAACACATGTCAAACATTTGAAAAAGGTTTAAAGTGTTACTATCCCTGCAAACAGAACATTTATTCAACTTAGCTGTTTTTGTGCCCTACCAATAATGCCCACCCCTCAGTTTAAAAAGCACTTGGTTAAAGAGGTGTAAGTGGTGTAAAATGGCTCCTATCAGACAGATGACCTGAGGGACAAATAAGGACCACTTTGATCTGTTAACCATGCAAAGTTACTCTAGTAGAGCCAAATAAGAAATGTGCATATACTGTGCCTTTGAACAGCTAAATTGTCTTGAGTGTTGCCATAAATCATGACAATCTTTCCACAGATACATCTTCATCAGACTAAAACACAGAGGTGATGCAAAGCAATTAAAAGCAACAACCTCACTCGTCGCATAAGGCTGGAAGTTGCAGGGGTTTAAAATTCGTGCTAACAATGCAAACATTTATCAGAAATAACTGTTAACTGCCTGTTTCATCCTTAATTCAAACACAAGTCCGTGATGTACATCTGAAACCAGCCAGATTATTTATAGCTCTGAGTGTGGGAGGTGATGTGGTGACAGAGACAGACACTCGGGCTGCTGGGCAGAGGCTGTAAAGCTCTACAGTTACTGATTTTGTGAGATCACCAATAGGGTGACAACACATGCAGCTAAAAAGCTCTGCAGCATAATACAAACCCCAGGGGATGCAGATGGGCATTTTCCATTTGCACCAACGCAGCATGTGACATGGGGATCTATTGTGCAAAAATCACACCGTTAGAAGTATCAATTAACTTAATTAGAGACTGTTTTAACGTAACCAACATCCAAATTAGTTACTGGATGTCATCAGTCCCGTCATCAGTAACCAGGCAGTCCTTCACACCCTCACGGCCCGAGAAGCTCATCAAACTCTACCTTGGACGGCCCAGTCTCCTGGCAGGGACGTCCTGTGTTCCGACACTTTGGGCAGGACGTGAATGCTTCCTGAAATGGTCTCGGACGCCTTTCTGGCCAAAGCGAAGATAGGAGCCTGCCATCGCCCGTCTCCTCCACCTCCTCCTCCTCTCACCGTGCTGCTGCTGTTAGCTTTATCCCCTGCAGCAGCTTTCTCCTCCTGAAGCCTCAAAATCCCAAATACCTGGGATTTATCCTTGCTGTTGTCCGCTTCAGACAGAGACAGGTCGTGCTCTGCTGACGATGCCATGTTCAGGCGCTGAAATGACTGTAGCTAGGTGTGCTCTCCGCTGCGAAAACAGCCAGATTCAAACGGTTTTGCTAACCGTCAGCGAGCTAGCTTTGATGCTCAATTCCTCTGGCGAGCATAATGACAATCGCTGCGTATATGTCTATTAAAAAAATACCTGTGATGGCACTGGGCAAAGCAATGACAGCTCTAACCAGAATCAAAACCTGTCGTTACGTCCCCGAGCTCCAAAACGTAAATTTGGCGCCGCTCTCGCTACATGATGAAGGTGAGCGCAGGTGTCGACCGCACAGAGAACCGCTGCTCAGTAAACGTGTATTTTCTATACATCGTGGTGGCGTAAAGATTTGTTTACAGCCAGCAGACCACCTAACCGATAGTTGGCGTCTCCGCCGTGCCACTGCACCCGCCCGAGGGGAGGTGTCACACACGGCTCACAAGACACACAAAAGGGAGCACTACGTAATGATTTTAGAGCCTACTCTGCCGTCCCCTGCTGCTGGAAACGAGAACTGCAGCTCTGCCCGCAGGTGGAGCGTGTACAGAAAAATAACAGGCTCCTTCCGAATAAAATCTGTCTTCTTTCTTGCTACCTTTAGGGGTCGCCACAACGGACCACCTGCCTCAATCTCACCCTAGCATCCTCCCGTGTCACACCAACAACCAACATACATGTCCTTCACAAAATCCATGAGTCTTCTCTATGGTCTTCCACTTTTCCTCCTGCCTGGCAGCTCCACATTCAGCATCCTTTGCACAATGTATCCACTATCCCTCCTGTGCAAATGCTCAAACCATCTCAACCTCGTCTCTCTTTGCCTCCAAACTGCACAACTTGAGCTGTTCCTCTGATGTTCTCATTTCTAGTCTTGTCCATCCTAGTTACTCCCCATGAAAATAAGCTCTGCAACCTCTCTTGTGCAGTCAGAGCAGATCCCCGATGTCTTCCCACTGCAACCTTGAACTCCTCTACCATGGCGTCCCATGCCCTCTATACTAAACCTACAGTAGAAAATTCTTAAATAGCAATGCAAAAGAATATTAAAAAAGAACAGTGGAAATCATAAACACCCCCACACAGTCACCAGTATAGAGAAAGAAAACAAATATTGGCAGAGAGCGCAGCTAAATGGAAAACTTGATTAGGTTTAGAGCTGACACTAAAGGCTGCAGCTAATAATCATTTTATTTTCAAATAATTTGAAAAAATAAAATGCCATTCAGCAGATTCAGTGAACACAACAGCATAAAAATGAAGCATCATCAAACTTATTTGCCATTGTCAGTGGCTGGTTTTCTAAATCCCTGAACATCCTATTAAACTCTTGTACCTCACCTGTTTTAAAGCAGTAATTTGTGGGTAAGCCACTGTTTTTCAATGTGAGAGACCAAACAGAAATTTCCATCATACCTTGGCTGTAGGCTAACCGCTCCATACTCTCACTATGAGTGATGCCCCAGCGGTGGAGACTCTGAGGGGAGTACATGATGAGTAGGGCTCTTTTCTGCCCACTGGGAACTGAAGAGTAGATCCTCCCTCCTGAAGTTGTCCACTCTGATCGGTCAGCTCCACAGTCAGCTTATCTTCAGTTTTCTAATATCCCACTTCTGAATAACAGATAGTAAAGAGGGTAACAGACTTTTAAGCTCTTTAAGATTAAACTATATAAGTGATTGTTATTTATTATTATTTTGACTTCTTTCATACATAAGAGCACCTAAAGTCATACATTGCTAGCATTTGTTCACCGGCACACCAGGATGTGAAGATGTGGATGGTTTTGAGGTCAACACACTCTGATTATCTGCTGCACTTCCTCTTTTTAAATCCTCATTTTGATCACTGACCCCCAAAACACATCACTTACATATACAAATCCTTTGATGGTAATAATAATATATGCTAAAAGTACCTTTGCTCAAGTATTTCATTTATCCTAAAAACTAAATTTCCCAAAATGTAAGTGTATTTAAGTAAAAATACACTCACCACCACATTTAACAGAAGGCTTTTTACCTTTTCTTTCAGCTATAAGGAATGGATCCTGGACCACCGCCTTTCCATCATACAGATCTAAAAGCCTCCAACCACACCAGCAGCACAATCCATTACAGTTGTGGCAGCATAGAGGGTTATAGCACACTACACAACAAAGAGCACTGTTTCTCCTCTCTCTCTCTCCATGTCCTGCTCTCTCTAATACCTCAGGGCTGACCAGGAATCATATGACCAGGTTTGTGCAGATCTGTGCATTCCCTGAATGCTACCACCATTAATTCTCTGAATCTTCATTTGTCAGTTCAGTCAGCAAAGAATAAAAAATTCAGGCTTCTGCTATCTCAATTTTTTTTTTCCATACCTCACTGAATTTGTCTGTATCCATCTTTATGTCGTGTTTGTTAGAGTCACCGAGTATAACCATGACTGTATAACTATGCATCACCGTTCAAGTTAAAATGCACTGGATTTTAAATGTAGTTATTCTTTTATTTCATATTTTAGAGCAGTAGCTTTAATACATTTCAGTTAAAACTTCTTTAGAACCAGAGCTGTATCATGTTCCCGTCTATCTCCTCCCTCCATCCATGAACCACACCTAAACATTCTCCCTACTCACTACACACCACTTCCAGCATGGTGTGTTTTTGTGCCATTTGACAATCCCTGGGACACGCCCTTCTGCCCGAGAGACAGCACAATGAGCCAATTGACATTCCCCACTGGAAGCTCTTTCCACCAATAGGGGTGTGGTACTGTTTCATCGTAGTAGGCAGCCATTCATTGTGCAGCAATGCTGCTGCAGTTGGAGTGGTGCTGTGATCACACTCTGACAGAGTCACAGATTTATTAATATTAGTTTCAATGACAAGGAGCAAGGAGGATATCAGGAGAGACACATCTTATAAATAGAAAACACAGTATAATTACAACGTGCACAGTACAGATTACAGTATGTGTGACAGCTAAGTATCACTCCACCACTCATAATGTGCCGTCGTTACTTAAACATGTGGATGCTGCATCTCACCTCAACAGGAAAAAGCGGTGCGTTGATCCTCGGTTATGTCAGCGTCTCAGCAATCTGTAGTCCGGTCACTTTCAGGTGATGACTCTGTGAAAGATTGGTTTGATGTACATCAAAGGTTCACCTTATCCATCCAGTTACCAGCTCCCAGTCATCTGGTGACAATAATCTATCTATCTGTCTATCTCGCAGGTGGTGTATGGATGCAGTATCACAGCATGACTCTCTGTAGTTCAGGAGGAGTAAGCCGGTACACGCTTGGGGGATATCACCGACAGAAACCACAATCATCACCCCACATAGCACCCAATGACAAGAGAGCAGGGAAGCTGTATGGGGGAGGGGTTTAGGAGTAACACAAGCAAGAACGGAGAGGAGGCTGAAAAGGGGATAAATACAGCAGAGACGGAGCGGAGCCGACAGAAGACACAAAGCAGGAAGAGACTGAGACCAGTGGGTCTCTTATTTGTGTTTATATGTACACATTAGTGTGACACTCTGAATGTATGAATGAAATGTATAAAGATATGAATGAAAACATGGAATTGTCTGTGAATAGTGACTTCTGAACACAAGAGGGGAGGGGCGAGTCTGTTACCATCCAATCAGAAGCAGGAAGCAGAGAGAGGGTCTCAGTGAAGCAGAGCGGTGATTGGTTCAGTTTGGGAGTGAATGACTCTGCAGCTCAGAGAATGAAACAGTTACCAGTGCAGCTGTCAAAGATGAGGCTCACTACATTTCTACTAATTCACAGAACGAGCGCAAAGACCAAGCTGATTTCATGTAGGCAAGCATGAGCAGTAAGAATGCAAATATTTAAAGGCACAATCAGCATTTTTTAAAACAAAAAAACATGCATCTCTATCAGTACTGAAGCACTTTTATAAGCATATTTTTACATAGTTTCCTGTTAACTTATGCCTTTAAAATCAGCCAAAGTCAGAGGGAGAGGTGCTGAATTAGAGCCAAATGGGACACAATGGGACTATTAAAAAAGAAAAAGAAGAAAAGAAAACAAGAAGCAAAAGCTGTTTTGAAGGATCCATAAAATATTTATTTATAAAATATATACAGTAAATATATACAGTCTGATACAAACATACATCCTTAAGATCAAACACTGCCAACTACCAGTGTTTACTGGGATCTGAACTATTTAGTCCTCAAACTCAGCAGCATAAAGCACTTGCTGAAATTTCATTCGCACCTCCATCCTTTTTTTAATGGTTAGCCTCTTCAGTGACGGCAAGAGGCTGAGCAAAAACAGTTCATCCTCATCTCTGAGGTTGCTGAGGGGATCTGCAGAACTTATCTCCGTTTCTGCGGATGTTTGTCTTTTGCGCTTAAGAGAGCCTCCCACGTCCTGATCGCTGGTCGGACAGGACTCCGGAAGAGAAAAGCTGGTGCTGACGACAGGCAGAGAGCCCAGCTGCGCCTTCTCCTCTTTGTCTTGCTCCTTCTCAGCGTTGCCTGCTCTACTAGCTACCTGTGTGGTGTGAAAACAGAAAACAAACACTGGTTAACACGGATTGCAACACACTACTGATTACGCTCAGTGATTTTCTTCTTTTTTTTCAGATTGCAGTCAAACGCCAGACTTTTGCAATATTTCACTGTCTACCCCAAGATGGAGTGGTGAGCCAGTGTCCCAACATCCAATGGGAAAGAAGGCTTTTCCACTAGCACCTACTTCGCTTGACTCGGCTTTGGTTGTTTTCTATTACAATTGAGTACCAGCTCAATGTAGATAGGGTCTTCATAGGAAGGCAGCTGGAAAGTCTTGTGATGTCATTTGTATGCGACACAAACACAAGACAACAATGGAGGAAATCAAGGTGATGCTACATGTGGCTTGGTCTATGGCTTTTTGCCAGAGTCAGGGTAAAAGAAGAGAGAGAGAGATGTCTGCAAGCAGCGAGAGGGTTTGATTCTTGTGAGGGAGTTAACTTCATGAATCATCTAGTGATGTCACCTCCTGGCCAATCAGTGGCATGTAGTCTGTTTAATGTGATTGAGATCGCTTAAAATCCCAGCCATGTAGGTACTAAAAATGTACCTGGTATCAGGTACTAGTACCTAATTAAAAACACTAAAAAGTCGAGTCAAGCAGGTTAGGTGCTAGTGAAAAAGAGACAGAAATGCTCATGGAGAAGCAGTTGATTAAGACCAGCTTTAATGAACCAGACGGTAAACATTTGCTGCAAAATCACAGCAGGATGCAAAGAAAAGGAAAACACGTAAACACTGGAGTAGCTTTCACTGGTGCAAACTACTGGTTTACAGTCTAAAACTACAAACTGCTAGTTTTAGACTGTAAAGATCAACGCTTTACAATAAAGGTTATAGCTTTTGTCTGAAAAAAAAAATCCTGGTTCTGAGCAGGGATCCTGTCATCTCTTTACTTCACAATTTATCTTGTTCAGG